CTGGCATAGCTGGTAGGTCATCATGGGAGGTGCAGGTCACAAAGGGGGGTGCTGTGTTCAAGTTAACATAAAGTGAATCCCTCATGCTGCTTCTAAACATGAATCTTTAAGCTGAGCCCAAACGTACTTGGAGAACACATTTTTTTAACTTTTTTTTTTTTGTGGTGGCAGCGGTGGGATTTTTTTAACTTTTTTTTTCTGTGTAATAGTTTTTATTTTTGAGTTATAGTAGGTTTATGATGTTAATTTCTGGTGTACAGCATAGTGATTCAGTTTTATATATATATTCCTTTTCATAGTCTCTTTCATTAGAGGCTATTACAAGATACTGAGTATAGCTCCCTGTGCTGTACAGTAGAAACTTGTTGTTCATCTATTTTATATATAGTAGTCAGTATCTGCAAATCCCGAACTCCCAGTTTATCCCTACCTGCCCCACAACCTGGTAACCAAAAGTTCATTTTCTATGTCTGTGAGTCTGTTTCTGTTTTGCAAATAAGTTCATTTCTGTCCTTTTTTCCGTCGGCGTTTTTTAAAACTTGTTTTTATTTGATTATTAGTGCTGCATCATTGACCCAATAGGGAAGTATTATTTTGATAGTTTATTTTAATCCCTACTAAGTGCCAAATACTGAGAATACCAACTACAACAACAAAAAAATGAATAAAGCACGGTACATGCCTTAAGGAGCTCATAGTCTCCGGTTGTCTCTGTAAGCAGCCCAGAATAGACATTTAAGATCATCACTGAAGATGCCTGTCAACCTCTTGCATAATTATCCAGTAGTGTCTGTTGCTGGCACTCTGACATCTGTAAGCATTGCATCGAGAATTCTCAGGATAGTGTGCTGAAGTATATGTATCTAAGACTTGAAATTGCTCAGTCCAGTTAGCCACACTTAGCTCTTTAAGTCTAGGTCCACATTTTGCAGCTTTAGAGACCAACCTTTCTGCAAGTTGCAAGGGTGAAGTGCTAAAGCTCTACTTATTTGTGACAACAGGGAGTTTCCTGAAGTCCCCTCAGTAGTGGGGGAATTCCTTCTGCCTTCCGAGTCCTGTGGGCTGCTGAGGCTGTGGAATGAATAGGCTTGGGGGCAACTTCCCCACAGGTCTGTTTTGATACAGGGCAGCACCTCATCTTGCATCTTCAAAGCCAGAAACTCAGAACTCATCTTAAATTTCTCCCAAACAGTCACCTTCCTGTCTCACCTTCAAAATCTCTTTCAGTCCTTTCCAGGCCTCCCCCCACCCCCCGATATCCTAGTTTTAAACCTTTGTAATTTGTCACTCAGGCTGTTAGCAGTGGTGTATACTACCTAGCTGTTCTGCTCAACAAACTCATCACCCCCCCAATACATTTCTCACTGATTGCACCAGAGTGACATTCCAAAATATGTGTAGGATCTTATGATTCCTCTGCTTAAAATTCAATAGCGCCTTTCCTCATCTACTGTGCAGAGTCAGAACTAAGCAGCCTGACCTGAGTTCTTTCTTTATGAGCTGGCCCTTGCCTACACTTTCCCACCAGCGTGTGCTTCCCAATTGAGTCTAACAATTTGAAGTTACTATGTTCATACCATGTTCTTTTCTGCTTTTGTGTTTAGCATGTACTCGGCCTCTACCCTGAATGTTCTTCCCTTCTTGTCTACTTTGCAAACTCCTACTCATCTTAAAACTTAGTTCAGATGTTCGCAATTCTTGGATGCCTTCTGTGACCTCTCTAAGCGGGCATATGTTTAATTTTTGTTTCCACATGTTATGCTTTAGACATGGTCTCATTATTTGTTTACCTGACTATCTTCCTCATGAGGCCTCTCAATCACAGGACCAATATTGTGTTCAGCTTCGTATTTTCTTATACCTGCTACACTGCATGATGTCAGACATTTTTTAAATGAATGAATGGTGGGGGAGGGTATAGCTCAGTGGTAGAGTGCGGGCCTAACATGCATGAGGGCCTGGGTTCAATCCTCTGCACCGCCATTAAAAATAAATAAACAAACAAACAAACAAACCTAATTCCCCCCACCAAAATTAAAAATTAAAAAAAAAGAATGATTTTTTTTAAATTCCTTTCTATTGATCTTAGTATCCATAAGAACGTGGGATTTTTCTTTTTAGATGTAGAATTCATTCTAAACGAATGTAGTGTAGTAGTGAATGTGGGCAAGATGAATTGTTAATATCCTGTTTTGTATGAACACTGTTGAGTGTTTAGAATTTGGGGAATTGTACTGCAAGCAACAGGCTATGAGAACACATCTCTGCTTTGCTTGCTGGATGTTAAGAGCCAGGTTGTTCAGCTTGCCAGCAAGTAATTAATGACAGTCCGGTCTTTAGTGGGTAACGGTTCTACACTGTCTTGCACATGTCAGGAGTAAGCCATTTCCTTGATCCTCACTAGAGTCATTTCTTGACCTCCTTCAAGAGACTTTTTTCTTTACAGTAGCAGAATTGATTTTCAAACTAGTTTTTAAATAAATAACAAAACAAGACATTCATTTTGGGATAGGGAAATTCATACCACTAAAATAAACTTTTAATAAAAATATATGATCTATATTATTTATTCAGCATTTAGAAACAACTGATTTATTTAATGTAATTAAATGGTAGTATAGACTTTTTTGTACAATTGTTCAGTCTAACTCCTCTCAGACTCAAATTTTTATTATTCTTAAAAACACCTGATTATTTTCTAGTTCTTTAATACTTGATATTGAGCTTTCCTGCACTTAATAGAAGCAGAACATCTTTCTGATACTGTTGAATTTCCATTTAGTTCTCTGATAATCAGTAGTCAGTTGGGTAATATAATTAATCAGAACAGTGCAAATGGGTAATTTATCTACCGTTCACGGTGCCCCTTTTCTGGAGGCTTGATTATCTTAATAATCAGTTTAGTACTTTGTCTTAATTAGAAAATTATACCTTTTTATTATGCTTTGAGCCAGTAGCACAAGTTTATACCTTTTTTTTTTCCTCATGGGCAATAGACAATAACATCATTTAAAAAATTGTCACTGATATTTTCACAGGTCTTAAATTGCTCTAAGATTTTAAACTCAAGACTAGCATCTTGTTTTTAAAGGTGAAAAGAGGTGAAAAGGGAAAACAAGTCCCCACTTAATCAACCAGTTGCTTTTGTACTTTCTTCCTCCTTGGTTGCTTTTCTTTTTCCCTTAGGTAGATTCTGGTTTGCTTAATAGGGTCCTGCTTTATGTTTTTGCTAATCTTTCTGAGGTATATATTGCTTTGACATGGTCAGTTTTTTCTAGGGAACCTCCAGGGAGAGTCTGTTGAATTAATTCCTCGGTGATTTTAGTACCTCTGAGTCATCTATGGTGATACATTGTGAGAATGCCCAGTGACTTTATCTAGGACATTTATCTTGAAGCAAAACCTGAGATGACTTTTTTAAAATACATATTCTAAAATAAGAGTTTAGAGTAACATATTCTGTATGGATTAATTTTTGAGGACTCATTTTCTTGATTTATTATTTTTTTAAATAGCAAGTCAGCCCCATACCATCATGACAACCATCAGTCCACGAGTCAGTAAACTTTGTTCTCAGTCTCTTGTAACCCCTCCAGAACCTAATCCCTGCCTGTTGACTCTGGCAGGGCTAGTCAAGGATGTGAAAAAAGTAGCAAAACACAAATGATGCAGTGTAAATAGATTCACCTTTCCTGTTGGAGAAATTTCTCTTGTTGGAGAAATTCACCTTTCCTGTTGGAGAAATTAGTAGAGATACTGTGTAGATTTGTTTGTAGATTTAGCATAGTAAAAATATTATTAGTAAAAAGTGGTCTCTTAAAAATGTTCACATTCAAAGCCCTTTCTCAAACTTTTTGATATTTTCAGCCCACATTGTTTAAGAGGAAGTATGTGTGAGTGTGTGTGTGTAAATGTGTAGCATCCGTCCCTGTGTCACAGTATGACCACCAGTGGGCTCTTCCACATACCCTTTAACTGTTTGGACCATTGAAAGATAACCTTAAGATTCATATTTCTTTACTGAATGCCCAAAAGTAATGGAAGTTGTATGTTTCCTCTGATTTGTATAAAATATAACCACACAGTGAGTTCCAGAGGCGTGTGCAAGCATGTTGGCCTTAAGAGCTTTGATATTTTGGGCTTCTGAGCTTTAGTTCAAGTTACAGGCAATTGTAAATGTGTTTTACTCTAGACAGCATTCAAAAGGCTTGTTAATTTTAATCTTATTAATGGACGTTCACTCTCGGGGAGGGTAAATCTATTTTCCACATACCGGCCATATTAGAACCTTAGCTGATCCTTCAAATAGCAGTGAGACAGAGCAGATAAGCTGTGAAAACATTTTATATTCTGAAACTTTTCAACAAGAATGTTAAAGATAGGACATTTAGCTGAAGGTGTTGACCTATTTTTGTTTGGGTAATGAGACTTTCACAACCAAGAATATTATCTTCATTCTAAACTATATTTTTCTGCTGATAATTTTGTCAATTAGAGGTACAGCACCTGATACTTTAAAATTAATGCTTCCTCTAGTAAAATGTATTGAAGTGGTATATAGCTTTCCTTTAAAAAAATTTTTTTTAATGGGTAATATTCTGAAGGTCATAGTTACTGTCTGAATGTTTTATGGAGATTTAAAGTGCTGTAGAAATCATTCTGCCAAGCTCTCTTATATATATAAGTTTTAAATAATCAGTTAAGGTAGGAATCTTTTTTGTACAATAAGTCAGTACTTGCAGATTTTTCTTTTCTCCTGTTTGCTTTTGGATCTTGTTCAGTGTTAATGCCTGTACCATTTTGTTTGCATTATCACTCTTGTTTGTGTCTCATGAGTTACTTGAACATTGCAATTTCTTTTTTAATGTAAAAAACCCCCACATACTTGTCATATGAAAACATAGTTAAGTACCAGCGCAGCCCAGTTGGAACTTATATTATGACTTCTGGGTGGTAGTTCTAAGATGAATTGTTGCTGATGTTGTGTTTAATTTTAATAGCCTCAAGTACTACAGCCTTCCAGCAGCCTGCCCAGACCCACAAACCCCGCCCAGGGAAAACTAACAAAGCCGCAGCACATCGAGGCCCTCAGTGAGCGCACAGCCCAGGACGCGCATCAGGGTGTTGCACATCCGGATGGAAGCTTCACACGTGGCTTGCAGCAAGAAAGCAACAATGGTCTGGAAGGCCAGCCTTTTTCATCAAGCCTGCAGTTTACTAAGGATGTGACGAAGAGTACGCCCTCTGCAGCAAACTTGAACATGACCATGAATGCTCAAGAGCCTTATCATTCAGCAAGTCATCAAATTAGTGCCATGCAGTTTGTACCCACTTCTCTCCAGACGCCTCCCCAGTCAAGTACAGCAGACCAGGCTAAGGGAGTTGGAAGAAATCAGTCTTCACTGGAGGGCTACACATCTCAGCCCAAATCCTTGCAGCTTCTTAAGCCATCCGTTTTGAATTCTTTGGTACCTCCACCGGTTCCTGAAACATCTCCAAGTAGGACTCACACTTGTAAGAAGTCACCAGTGATCACACCATGTAATTCAGCAAAACCGCAGCCAACATCTAGTCAGACAACTCTTGCAAGTAATCCAAATCTAAAAGCATCTAAGCTCCGCCCCCCTTCTGGCTCTTTCAAACAAAAACAAACAAGCAGCCCCCGACTAGAGCCTCCAAACCTCCAGGCCAAGACAAGCATCCCAAGGCCACTGATGAGAAGAAAGGAGATTGTGCAGAACCCTAATGACAGTTTGAATTCTGGGGATTGTTTGGCCTCTAATCAATATTCTCGTCTTCCTAAACCAAAGATACATTAAGTAAATAGCCATCACCTGCCACTTTGCTTTTTTTTTTTTTAAAAAAAAAAAGAAAAAGGTTTGTTCTGTAATAAACTTTATGTGCAGTTTGCTACCGTGATGGAGGTTCCATTGAAAGCTTGCAAATCGTAAAATTAAAATGTGGAAGCTTCTACTCATTTGGCTCTTACATTTTATATCCTGGTTGAAGTACACAGCATTTGAGCATATTTGTCTCAGGTAAACACAAAAGTTTGCTTACCCATCGGAGGTCTACAGAAGGCTCTAATCATGTTATTCCATCCCTCTGCACATCAGAAAATTCCTAGCGTTCCACTTAGCAGGCAACACATGTGCTTTGCTGATTGCGTCCTTCTAAGGTCTGTATTGTGGTTCTCAGAGCCTCACCCCTTTTCACGTGTTCCTCCTGTGAATGTGGTTACTATTTTAACTAAAGATTTGGTGATAATGGAAGATAGTAAGCAGAATTCTGGCCAGTGATTTGTATATTTATAAGGTCTATGCAAAAGTTCTGTGATGAATAAAGGTGATCAGGCTTTGAATGGGAGGTTTATGTTAAGTCTTATTTTTCCTTGCTGTGGTCTCAGTATTTATTTACCAGACAAACTCCCCAGGCTAAAAATGTTTCATACTATATATGTAAACCAATTATATGTTGCTTTAGCATCTTGTTTCTCTCTCTCTCTCTCTCTCTCTCTCTCTCTCTCTCTCTACTCCTACCTACCTACCACACACACACACACACACACCACACACACACACACACACACACACACACACTCCATTTGTGTTTGTTTTTGTTACTGCATACATTTTGGAACGCTTGAGTGAGATACATCTTGAAACCTGACCTCAAGGTGTATTCATCTGTAACATATGTTGGTGCTAGCGTTTCTGCTGGTAATTCCATTTTGAACCCTATAGGCTTATGGATCCATGATAGCTGTTTTAAGTTTCCACAGCATATATTTTAAATTAAGTCTTTACTGTAATATTTATATTTATTGACTTTCTGCTAATATCCGAAGACTGGAATAATGAACTTGAAATGTTTGCACAAAACTTTGAGGGGGTGTAAATAAATATCCCACACATAGGGATTTAAAACTATTTTCTATAGAAGAATGAGTTGAAATATTTTGAGTAGAATTACAAATTTAAGTAGGACTATCTTGAGGAAGCTGGAATCGTAATAGTTTTGTTTTTCTGAGTTTTCCAGGTTTCCATTTTATGTTGGTGTGTGTTTGAATGACATTTCTTGAAAAGTAGATTTGAGAAGAAAAATAAAATTGGAAAGGGGAAATTGTGTTTTATTAAAAGGCATTTAAAGATATTTCAATGGCAATATGCTTGTTTATGCCAACGTGCTAGGAAGGTGGCTGTGGAACTGCCGAGGGACCATGCGTGTTAACCTAATCATGCTGCGGGCCAGTTGTCAGATGGTTCAATAAGTTTGCCTTCCTGTTCTCCCAAATCATGTCCTCTCTAGGCTGTTCAGCTGTTGTTACTTTCATTAGAATCAACATCTCTCAGACAGCCTTTTACAAACTCAATTTTTGTTGTGATCAGCTGACCAAAAATTTATCAAAAGAAATTATGGCCAAAAAATTAGTCACTCAAATTTCTAGGGATTCCTTTTAAAAATGTATGTTGCCCCCTTTCAGAGGTACAACACAGCAGGTGCTTTAAGAGAAATTTGGAAAGAGGCGTTTACTACCATTTTGACTAGTCTCCCCTTACCTATCAGGGAACCATTTGAGTGAATCTGCCATTCACTGGAAACCGACCATTCTTGGACTTGGTACCAGGCGAGCAACACGAATCTAGGATCATACTCTCACTTGACAGCACTTCTGCCAGAGAAGCACTGAGTTTAGAAAGTTTTTCACATAGTCTGAATGTTGTTAGTGCGCTAAGTGATCAGACACAGCAGGAAAGCTCTTTTTCCTTCACAGGGATGAACAGTCATAGCGAAGCTAGAAGTGGGTACATGTCTTTCCTTTTGAAGGAAAAAGAAAACTGATCTATATTTGCAAAGGGCATGTTTCCCTAAAGTAAAACATGCTGATTAGTTGGTTTTGGTTTATTTAGAAGTTGGTATGGACTCTTACGAAACATTATTTACAAGCAGACCTCTACCTTTAGGGGAAAGTTTAACATTTTTATTTTTAACCTCCTAGTCTGAGGGAAATGTCTTTGTTATATAAAAATGTTGACTCCTATAATCTGTTTTTTTCTCATCCTGTTTTATTTTTTTCTCCCTGATGAATTTACAGAAATATTAATTCATTTCACTTCCTCTGTACCTTTGCTGAGCCTTAATCTTGGCAGAGGCTGAGCAATGTAATTATGAAGCATAATATATTTAAGAGCAAAAAATCTAGGATGCTTGCAAAAAACAGCAAAGTATTTGCCTTCAGTTTCTTTAAAAACTGCAAAAATATTATGCTCGTTTGCTCCTTAGTAAATGTTAAGTCAGAAATGAGGTGAGGATGTAGCTTACCTGAACAATCAGAGGTCACGCTCAGATTTGGCCTGATGTCTGTTGAGTGCTTTTGTAAGTCAGCTCTGTGCCAAATCCTTCTCCACAGGACCCCAGACCACTTTTTTTCTTGGTTCTTGTGATTTTGGGGAAGATGGTTGCAGTGTATGAATTCCGGATCCCAAAGAAGAAGTTTTATGGGAGTTAGTTAAGTTTCATATTTGTGAAAGAGAATATAGAGTATGTAGAATTGTACATTTGGCTGTTAATGGGCTGCGTATCAAATTCGTATCAAGACAGCTTGGCCTAAGGAGTTCATTAGTACAAATGCAGATGATTTTAAGGCATTAAAGGATTATATGGTTTTATCATTAAGAGTGTTTCTAATAACTGAGACCGTCTAGCATTTTTCTTTTGGAGTCTCAATTTAATTTGTGCAATATTTTCAGGCATATAGACTACTGTTCATTGTATTTATATAGGTATTAGGGAACTTAAACTAAGTATTTTAAGAAGTAAAAAATCTGAATATGAAAGAAAATATCAGATTTGCACTTTAAATGAGCTTAATTGCTTGGAGTTGTGCCTGAAATATCGAAATGCCTCCTGCTGGGTGTGGCTTTCTTTGTTGAAATGAATTTCTTTATAATTGTTGCTGTTCCAAGTACAGCCTTTCACAGTTGTATCCTGAGCATGTCACTTTTCCCATTAAAGCACTAAGTTCTTTGAATGTTTCATTGTCCCCTTCAGTATTTTACTCAGATGTATCAAAGAACGTGATCCCCCTACGGCTGACACTTCTAAATCTTCCTGTAGCATCTGTGGGGTAACGGCCACAGAGATGCACTCTTCATTTCTGAGCAGAGTTGTCACGATAGTTTCCTGGTCTGCAGGGCACTGAGGATGTAATTTGGAATCACCAAATAGGCCTGCAATGAAGAGCAATAAGACTGCAGCATAGTTTCAGTTTCCTCTCAATCTTACATCATGGTTTTCGTGTTTATGACTTAGTTGGGTGGTCATGTCTGCATGCCTATGCGCACATTTGAACATTAATTATAGCTGTAATACAGAAACCTGGTGTTTTTCCTTGGGGGTGATGACCTTGCTGTTTTTCTTGATTCTGATGCCTGAATTCTATTTTAAAATTTTCTTTCCACACCTCCCTTCAGTTTTTCTGCTGCAGCAATTTGAAAGAGTATATTTGGGTAAATGATTGTAATGGTGGGCACCAGTCTACAACTGTGCTGTTAATTAAAGATATATCATGTGATTGAAAAGCTTGTTGGGGAAAAACTACCCACTTTCTTCTTGGTAAAGTATCACCACAACAAAAGAATACTGACTTTAAGAATTTAAAGTCTCTTAAGTCATTACTGACTAAAAACAAAAACACCACCATCTCTTCATATCTGCAGTATTGTTTTTTCCATTAATTAAAAAAAAACCAGTTCAGAGTAAATACTGTATATTAGAAGTTGCTTGTAAAATGAATTATAAAAGCTGGATGTAAAGTCTCTTTCCTGAAAATGTTGGCATAGTAAATTAAAATAAAGTTCATAATTATAAAAATTTTCTTGTCCTCCACATTGACGTCCACAGTGTACTTTTTCTCATACCTTTTTCCCACAAAAATCTAAAAAAAACCTGTTCATTTGGTTGACTTTTTTTTTTCAGCTCTTATTCACACACTACCTTCTACACACACATCATACTCCAAGCCCCCATTGATAAAGGGAATTTATTTTATTTTGCAATTTAGCTCTATGTGTTAGTCATTATATAATAGGATATTAAAAGTTGATGTGGTGATACATCCTATTATTAACCCAGAATGGCTACATAAATGCCAGAAAAAGAGTGAAGGGAATTTTATTAGTAATACATTTGATAGTGGCATTTACCATGTCTTACTACACCTGTATCAGTTTTAAGGCTCTGAGTTGTTAGCAAGTATTCTCTTAGCTTAACTCAAAAATGTCCTGTTTAGTCTGTCATCAAGTGCAGTCATTTCAGTTCCCTGGTACGTCCATTCTGAAAATCTTGCTCCCCCCTCCCCCCCACCCCCGCAAAAAAGGCAAGTAGAAGTTAGCTCTGCCTTCTTCTGTTGACAGGGTTTAAGTAATCTGGTGGGATACTGACGTATGTCATCGCTGTGTCAGCCGCTCGGTGTGCGGAGATGAGGACCCCATGGTGCTTCACGGGACTTAAGGACCCACAGGCGGTTTTTAACTCCATCCCATCCAGCTCACCATCTTGTTCTGGACATAACAGTAAAACTCCTTTCCTCCTCCTCTCATTTCATTCTGAGCGTTAATTCCCTTGCACTCTTCTCATCTTTGCTTCTGTGTTATGTTCTTGGCTACCTGCCTTCACTTCCCTTTGAAAACCTGGCCTTTTGTAATAACCTGATTTTATTCAAGAATTCCGTTTTCAGCCATACCGGATACGCTTCAGTACTTTGCGTCCTCTTCGTTAGCTGATTAGTCAAGATTGAATTTTGAAGTTTCTCAACTATCTTAAGCCACCTTCCCTTTTTGACCTCAGCCCATAAGATCTCACTTTCTGAAGTCTTCTTTTAACAATCAGTTTAAGTCCAGGCTTTGTTTTCCTTCCATCGCTTTCTCTTGTAGAGACATAAAATCTAGTATGTCTGGTAGATATCTTTGGTTACCTGCCATTTTCTGCCATGTGGTCCTTGAGAAATTTAGGTCATCCAGAAACATCTTCACCTCGTTCACGAATTTCCCTCAAACCTCAAATTAACATTCAGCCTGTGAAAAAACAAAAGGGGCAGAAAGAAAACAGTTCTCCACAGGCTTTTCTCTGCTTTTTCAGCCGTAAAAATGGTATTGCTATTTTCCAGATTTCGAAACATGACCTTTATTAATCCACACGAATTCATTCACACATCCATTTGGAATATGAATGCTTCTTAGGTAATATTCTAGGTGATTTGCAGTTTTCTGCAAAAGGACATCTCAAATGTTAATCTGCTAAAGTGAAAGGTATCTCTTTTCATTCTTTGCAATAATATTACTGAAACACCTGACGTGTGCC